AGACTGGTTGGCCAAGTAAAATAGCAAACAGGAACATTCTGCTAATTTCATTGCAGTCTTACTTGTCCCTCAATATTCTTTTGTGGAAAATAAAACTGCTAAAATGTGAGTAGTATAGTTCTTTGTTAAAAGGAGTACAAATTTAAGGTGAGAAAACAAATCCATTAACAAGTAACAAGGATTGTCATGACCTGTTATGAGTTCATTTGATGATTTACCTCTATCATCAGTATTTTGACAGTTTAATGAAAATAGACTGATAGTCTTCAGAAATATTCAATATCAGTTTTTTTGCAAATGGGACTCTCACATTTCTCTTTAGATATAAAATCTTCCTAACTGTGAAGACTGCTGAGATATGAAATGTATTGTTAGACAAAAAACAGGAATAGCTTGTTCTTATTACTAATAAAGTTTTTTCCCCCATCTGAGCCATGCTCGATTATTGTCAAATAGGAGTATATACTGTGTTTCCCCAAAAATAAGACCCGGTCTTATATATTTTTTGCCTCCAAAAAAGGCACCAAGTCTTATTTTTGTGGGATGTCTTATCCACTTACCTTAGGACTGCCACAGCCAGGCCCCCCATGCTCTGACACCTGTCATGCTGCTGTTCGAATTCTGAGGCCGTACACCACGTGGTGCATTGCGCAAGTCCCGGCACTCGCGGTAGGAGGCTGCATGGCTTTTTGCACTGGTGCTGGTGCTCATGGCAGGAGGCTGCATGGCTCGTCACACTGATCATGCCAGTGCTGCCGCTCGTGGCAGGAGGCTGCAGAGTATGTTGCGCTGTGTGGTCTCCTATAAGCATTGGCAGCAGTGCTATGTGCCATACGGCAGTGTGACGAGCCATGCAGCCTCCTGCCGCAAGTGCCAGCAGCGGCACGATCAACACAACGAGGCATGTGGCCTCCTGCCACAAGCAGCAGCACCAGCGCAATGCACTGTGTGGCTGCAGAAAAACTCAGGCAGCAACAGTGTCGGCATGGGAGACCCCTGCAGTGGTCCTAAGGTAGGTGGGTGTGGGGTGCATCAGGCAGCTCCGTCCCCTGCCCTAGCTTGATTTTTATACGTATATCTCGCCGCAAAACTAGGGCTTATTTCGGGGGTAGGACTTATATTAGGCGCAAGCGTAAAATCAAGCTAGGGCTTATTTTTGGGATAGGTCTTACTTGCGGGGAAACACGGTATGTGTAGTGGGGGTATGTGGGGAGAAGCATATTATGACTATTCATAAAAAGAAGAAAGACCTGGAAAATAGTACTTTCTTTCTAAGATGGATGCTCACAAATACTCATAGGGCTCTATTAAGATTTATATTAACTTTTGCTTTATTCTCTGAATTTTTCTCAAGCAAGAATATAAAATAGTAAATATGAAGGAAAATCCATATTCTAAAAGTAGCATGGCAGTCTTAATATCTAACATTTTTTCAAATAATATCAAAAAAGGCTATATGTGGAATATGTTATAGAAATAAAAATATATGATGTAGAACTTAAACTAGAAAAATGTAGATTTAATTTTCTACCTTTTATTGTGTTAAAAAGAATATAAAATAAAGAGGAAAGTGGTGAACAGCTATAGACTAATGGTGGATATTCTTTGCTTGCATGAAATCAATCTAACATTTCAAATTCATGGGGAAAGTAGTGAAACAAGAAATATTTTTACATGATATGATACAGGGACAAAAAAAATGTGATACTTTGCAGACACCATTTTTGGTACCTGCCAAGTTTCCTATCTTGTCTGACTTTTTAATTAAATTGGAAATTTACATTATTTATAAACCCTCAGCATTAGGTGTATTTGCAAGAGTGAAACCTCATAGACTCATATGCATTCTTAGAAAATAAAAATTATGGCTAGCTGTTTGGAAGTGTTTATATCTGTTACAATAGCAGGGATAATAGGGAAAATTTTAGGAGGGTATAAACAATCATAGAAGTAGCATCAACATCTTGCCTTGGATTAATGGGTGTTTTACAACTGATCTTGCTACAAGACCCATTTTGTAGATGTGTTCATCATTTGAGCCTACCTATCCCCCAAAAAATTACTTAGCCCTGACTACTGTTGTTTGAGAATAGGTAGTTAGACAGGCAATGGATGTCATTCACCCACATAAGCCAGCGTCATATAACTATTATTAGTAGTGTTACTTTGATTTATTGTTGATTTCTGTCTATCCGATATAAGATATAAATGGGAGTTGAATTCCTACTTATCTGCAGGGTATAAGTTGTAGAAGATATGATTATTTCATGAAGGTGTAAAGCCTTCCTTCATAAGATTTTCAAGTAAGAATTGAAGGAAAAACATATTGCAGACAAGGTAAGAAGAGCATGTGAACAAATATATACAGCTAGTCCTTGACCTATGATGTTTTGTTCTGCTATTTTAATGTCATATGCCAGACATGTCAAACTTGCGACGTCACGTGACATTGCGCAACATATCGGGACTGTTTTGCCATTGCTGGCAATGGGATGGGTGCGGCTTCCGTGTGATGCGTCCAGCCCATGGGGCGGCAGTTTGACACCCCTGTCATATGCTATCAAAATACTTGCATCATCTAATGCAGATTAATGCCTACATGGAAAAAGAGATGCCAGATAATCAAGATGGTCTTAGAAAAGGCTGAGGAACATGCAACATTGTTGATACTTGCTAGATAATTAGGAAAGTCAAATAATACCAAAAATAAACCACCATGTGCTTCGTTAATTATAGAAAATCCTTCAAGCTGTGAAACACGCTTAGAAAAATGGAAATTCCAAAATATTTCATTGTCCTCCTGCTAAGCATATATACAGATGAGGAAGCTACAATGTAGACAGAACATGGTGAAACAGACTAGCTCCAGATTGACAGAGGAATCAGGCAAGGCTGTATACTTATTTAATCAAGCTATATGCTGACGCTTGGGAAGCTGATTTGTGAGAGGATGAATGTGATTTTAAAATTGGAGGAACCAAATCAACACATAGTTCTCAAAACACAAATGATAAATCTCAAATTATCCTACTTTGAACACATTCTGTAGAAAAGCTGTAATGCTGGGGAAAATGGAATGAAAAAGAAGATGAAAACTAGTGGATGGACTCAGTTACAGTGAAAATGGTGCATTGGAAGATCTGGAGGACCAGATTAGGAGAAAATCTATCTATGTTGACACCAACTTGATGGCTCATAATTCAATTTGATGAGTCCATAGGTATGTTTGTGGGACTCTATATCCTAATCAGATGAGATAAAGCACACCTATTGCTAAACAGAGCAATTTTCAGTAAATTCTTCAGAAAAATAAAAGATAAATATCTGTATATTGATTTTCCTACTACTTAGAAGAATCCATTTAAAGCGAGTTATGAAATTCTGATGAAAAAATAAAAGGCAGTACTGATTGGGCTAACTTTCTCCAAAGTTTGAAATCAATTCATATTTTTTTCCAATGAGAACTCTACAGTTTTTCAAACATATATTGAGAAGAGTTCAACATGGCTTGAATAATAAGTCCCTGGTAATGTTCCATTAAGTCATTTTGTAGCTTGAGCAGTATTGATGCAGAATGCACTGCAAGTCATTTTCTGAGCACAGTTGCTACCATTTATTTAACCTTGAAGTTCAGGAAGAATGGCTTAGTTCAGGGGTGTCAAACTGGCAACATCACGTGACATGTCACAACATATCTTGACTTTTTTGCCATTGCTGTCAATGGGATGGGTGCGGTTTTGCTATCATGCATCTGGCCCGTGGGCCGGCAGTTTGACACCCCTGGCTTAGTTCAAAATATGGTAAAATCACCTTTCCTCTTTTAACATACCTCATTGACCCAAGGGGGTAGGAGGAGAAAAGAAACAGTTTAATTAAAGATAAAATAGTAATCCCACACTTCTTTAAGAGTCTGGGATGGTTAAAGAAATAAATTAAGTCCAGATATCTCACTGCTGTTGTCAATTATTTACCATGCTTTGTTTAAGACAGAAAAATCAGAGGGGTACTTCTTTCAGGGAATAAAATAACAAAATATGGAAGTATAATTAGAAACTATATGATTCTGCTTTCTACAATAATGGAAAAACGGGGGGGCAAATGTCTAAAACATCTAAATAGCTAAACTATCAAATGGATGAATAACAACAGTGAGATTTAATCAATTACAGTTTTGAGGAACCCATGGAATATACGTTGTAATGATCCAGGTTTGTACAGTATTTTGATGCTTGGATGGAAAAATTAATGTAACACATACCGTATGTATATGCTTAGTTGGATACATTTTAAATATAGTATCTTATGATTCTGAATTTTTTAATTGTAACTTAATATGATTATATAAGACTTGTTGAGAGAGAGAGAGAGAGACAGAGTTGAAAAGTGAGATAAATTAATTCTGTAAACTTTTTTGTCCCGTAGTAAAATGTTTTATGTGTAATTGTAAATAGAATTGTACTATTTGGAAAATATTACGAATTTATTTTATCACTTTATGTTGTTGGAGGCTGGTGTATGTACTACAAAGAACTGGTTAACATTTTTAAGTAGCCCAATTAAAAGTAATGTATTAACTCTACTTTTTAAACAGTTTTGAAGAAAGTATTAGAATTTTCTTGAATGAATATGTTATAGGTAACAAATAATTAAAATGCATTTGATTAACTTTGGGGTAAAGGGAAGAAAAAGTTGAAAGATTTTTATATATTTATATCTTCCATAAAAATATGCTCAGGATAGTTCTCAAGAAGTATCTTATTTATTACTATTACATAGTTGTGAGGACTTGCATTTTTTCTGTATTTTATTTTGTTGAATATATAACTCATTATATTTCTAAGTCAATTCTAAATTGCAATTAAACAGATTCATATTTCATATATGAAATGTGCAGTATGCATAATTCTCTTTTTGCATCTACTTGTCTGTATATTATGAGGATCTCCCTACAAGTTGATTTTTGACTTTTGATTTGATTTGTTTATTTGTGCATTTTTTAGGTCAGCAGGTTCTTGGTTTGGTAGAGAACCAGAGTGACTGGTACCTAGGAAACCTCTGGAAAAATCACCGTCCCTGGCCAGCTCTTGGAAGAGGTTACAATACAGGTATGTTCAATAGCATTCTGAAAGAAATGTTATTTCTGACTAATATGATACCTGAAATTGTGGAAGATACACTATTTTAAAGAAAAGATGCTCCTTCCCACTCCTGAAGCATATGAGCACCCTCTAAAGAGTAGGAGTGTGATTGCAACCAAGGCCAAATTATGACAAGCTAGAAAGTACAGTAATATATTGTTTTCTTTCTGTTTTTGCTACATCTATTCAGTGTATAAACTAATATGGAGCAATGTGTTTTGACTAATTTTTTTTCTCTTCTGCACTCTATCCCCTTCAAACATTTAGATTTAGATTCATTCATTTTCTGAAAAAATACCATTCAGTAAAAGGTGATAAGTGCATTCTAAGCTCATATAATCAAAACCTACATTCATAAATGTTAAAGTGCTACTTGAAATTTGATCCCACAAAATGAGTTGTTGGACAACTAATGGTTATAGGTTCATTGAACATCTTGCTGTTTTATAACTGTTTTATATTTAAGTATTGATTGTTACCTTTTAAAATATGTGAATTCTGTTCCAAATGAAATGCATTCAAATAATAGTAGATGTAGTATATCCCTTTTTTGATGGCAGCCTAGCTGTTTGTTAAATAACTAATGTCATCAAAGAAATCAAACACCACATGGTAGTGAAATCACCAAGTCATGGCCCTAACTGGAAATAAAGTGCATATCCCCCTCCAGATATGTTCACAAGTCTTCTCCCTGGATATCACCTACCTAACTCTCCTCCCTCAGTGTGATGCTGGAATCACAAGGTCATAACCCTAACCAGATATGATGATGTGTTGATACTACCTCGATCAAGAAAAGTGTGAGAATGAACCCTGGGTGCATGATTAGTTTAACCCCGAACCTAATTCTATGTGCATTCAAACCACATTTGGGGAAGGAGAGTATGCACATCATATCGCAGGAGTGGGGGATATGCAGGTCGCTTCTGATTAGGGCCATGACTGATGATGTCAACAGCACATGGGGCTTGTTTACTTTGCTGATATCACCGATTAAATAAACAAATAAGCCGTAGTTAAAAAAGGGATATACTACATCTACTAATAATTTCTTCTTTATAACATCTCTTTATAATTTAGAATATGAAATGAGAATGCCTTTTTGCTTTCTAGTGGTCAATTCGTGCTGTAAAAATCTTTGTACAATTTTCTCAGATGTACAATATTTCATGCCTAGGGAATTAATCTTCCTTTCTAGCTTGATTATTTGCCATTACTTGTTAACCACAATAAGACAGACATAAAACATCAATTGTTACAACTGGAGTTAAGTTTGTAATTCAGTGACAAGACTAATATTAAAATAGGAAGAGTTGGATTCAAATCCCTGATCTGCTACAAAATTTAGAAGTATCAAAGTGTGGGTGGTATATCTTCAGCATAGTGAAAAGATCATAATAATGGTCTAAATAAATCTAATGCCAAGCTGTCATATTCTCTTCCTCCATAGGGAAAAAGAAGCATGATTTCTGTGACTTGATTTATGGGGAGGGACAGGCTTCTCTACTGATTTGTGTGTGAAATGTGAGCAGACATACCAGGTGGATAAAGAACATACCCATAGGCATCTAAATCAGTTCCATCTCATAGTTTAGGTGGCCAGATAGTGACTTATATTATGTTAGCATCTTAAATAAAAACAGACAGCACTGAGGAAGGATCCATTTCTAAAGGAAATGTTCCTATTAAATAACTTAGTACCACCAACCAGTTCTTTGTGGCAGTTGAAATGTTCACCAAGGAATTTCTTCCGTCTCTGTGAAATAGATTTGCTATTATGAAAAAGCTAATACACAACAATTATATTAATGCCATTATTTATATCAGAGGTCCCCAACCTTTTGAGCACTGGGGACCAGTTCCGTGGAGAAAGGTTTTTCTGTGCGTGGTTTTGTGTGCTGCCTGCATCCCATGGATGGGGCTTTGCTTGTTTTTGCGGACCGGTTGCTGACATGCCACGGCCTGGTACCAGTCCATGGACTAAGGGTTGGGGACCCCTGATTTATATTATGATGTAAAGGTGTAAAAAGATTATGGTTTTGGAGACAGGTACTATGGGTTGCTAGAAGACCTACTTCATCAAATAAAGACAGGCTTCTCTGTTGAGAGGATTATCATCAAATATGAATTCAAAAATTTAAATGAGTATAACAAGTGGAGATGGTATAAAAAAATGTCATTGCTTGGTAAAGTTAAGAGAAGTATAGAAGGGGAAGACAGTGGATTAAGTGAGTGGATAGAATCTATTTATTTGTTTTATATCAGAATTCCAGAAATTATAGAATGGTTCTTAGAAAAGCATAAATTACTAGCAGTAGAGCAAAATGTCAGGCATAAATGTACATGCAGTCATCAATAGTCCTGTCTGATTTTTCAGGAGTACCAACCATTTAACCAAAAATGCTAAACACTAGTTGAAATGGTTCCTGGGGCCTATGAAAATGAAAGTGAACTCCATCCACTTTATGAAACCCTGCCCTTTAGCTTAATCAATTCTTGTGCAGAGTGGGGAAAGAATTGTATTATTATATTCCATGGTAACGGTAATTTTGTCTGGTATTTGACCCCTTTGTTGTTGTTAATTGCGAAGTCGTGTCTGACCCATCGCGACCCCATGGACAACGTTCCTCCAGGTCTTCCTGTCCTCTAGAAGGCAGCAAATATCCCATCTATTGCTATGATGGAAAGGCAGTAAACAAGGTGGTATCTTCATTCAGTTTTGCCCATAATATGCATTCTAAACTTCATAAATTTAAATTTGCAAAAGGAGAAAGATTTACAGGATCTAAAGAGAGATCAGAGTATATTTATTGTTTATTTACTGATATTTTATTTTCCACCCACCATATATTTTCTCATCCTCTTTTTCTTCATTTTTTTAAAAAATGTCTTAAAATAAATACAAAATTAAGAAAAAAATAAAGTTGGAACATTTTGGGTATAGCTCTAAGCCTTGTTATTAACCGTTTGTTGCCAAAATTAGCTGTATTGTCACACTATATATCACAACATATATCTACAAATAAAATAAATACAACTTTGGAATGTGTAATGGGTAAATCCAGTCATCTTAGCACTGTCGACGTACAGGAGTACAATAAATATTTATTGCTAGTTTGTTTTCTGCCTACAGTGCTACACATCAGCAGGGAATTTACAACATTAAAAATGCCTTTAGTATAGTATAAAATATTTTAAAATAAGACATATTACAGCAGATTAAAATTATATTTAATTCCTAGGTTTTATTTTTTTTCTATTACAAGAACACTATATCACTTGTTATATCGTAAGAAATGTACATATTTCTTTTGCATCCCTATTGAATAGTCAAAATCACTTGATTAAAAAATGCTGAATTAATAAATCCAAGTCAAACTGATTTCCTCTCATTTGCTACTAAGCCAACAACATTCTGTCTTTGGCACAAATACAAGCAAGTAACTTCGAATATAATAAAGACTGAGGGTGGTTAGGTAGAACAAGCACTTCTCTGATCAAACAAAGCCATTAAGATGCATTCTTATTTCAAGACTGCGAAAGACTTGTTTGGAGGTTCTAGAAGACAAGCACAGGTATCATACCATTGACTAAAGATTGATATACTCCTTCCTGAGATGGTTGTCACTTCCATGAGCATACAGTTCATGGAAGAACACAAATGGAGTGGTGGAGGAAAGGGACATCTGCCTAACTAGCCAGATCAGCTCAATTAACTGTGGTGTCTTCACATCCAGAAGAAAAAAAGCTTATCATTGAAATGATTGAGATTGACTGGTGCTCCCTGTCTCTCACACGTGCATATGACAGACAGACAGACAGACAGACAGACAGACAGACAGACAGACAGACAGACAGATGATATATTCTGCATCAGGCAGGTGATCTGCATAAATATAACAACCCCTGTAATAAAGGATACTTAAGTGGTTACATTTTGACCCTCACATGAAAAATGAATGTGCAGTTATCTACATTTGAAAATACTATGGAAGATACTTTCTTGGAATGTCTGCACCAAACAAGGAATCAATACTTTGAGTTATTTGATTTTACAGATTTCCAGAGAATGTGTTTTGAATATAACTTACTTACATTTGCCTTGCTTGGCAATTTTACAATTGAAACATGTATTAATTAAAACAGTACAGCTGAGAAGTCTTATCAATCTCCAAGGTAGTCCTAGGAACTAATTCTAGGATTAGTTTTATTTTCTTTTGTCAGGTTTATTTCATATCACCACGAGATATCTGGGATTTCTTTCTCTTTAGTATATAAATACTAATTATCTTTTTTCCCTCTTGGTGTTACAATTTTCTATATTTCACTAGTAAAAATAACTTAAATATTAAAAAGAAACATCCTGCTAAGCTGATATTCCATTCCCCAATTTCCTCTTCCTCTCTTACACTGCAGAAGTGGTTAGTTATGGAGAAGATCCAGTGGAAACAGCTATTTTATTTGACAGCCTCAGATATTGCTTTAACTTGAGTTCACGTATAATAGCTGACATTACTCTGAACAGTTACTCTTGACAGTCTTGCGTGCTTACAATATACTCATGCATTATTCTTCTATGTTTTAGTCAGCTCAAGCTTTCATTTTTCAGTTCCACAAAGCTATTAAAACCTTTTTTTTTTAGTTTATGTGGTTGAGAGAGAATAAAAAGGATATAGTTGAGCTAAAAAAGCAAATGCATGAAAGGAAGATTGGAGAGGAGGTAGTAGCAAATGCAACAGCATTTTTCTGAAACATGGAACAAGAGGTCATTGAGTGCGACAGTTCAACTTCTCCAAAATAGCAAAGGATGGATTATTGACAAAGTCAGCATATGTCACTGTAAAGAAAACTGTTCAAAATTGAAATGTATTGTTTGACTCAGTGCTCAGTGCTCGGAGAGAACAAAGAAATAAATCTCCTGGGAAGAGAGGGTGGTGATAAAAGAAAGGTAAGGCTTATCAGATGCC